TGGCTTGGCAAGCCGTGTGTTGGTGTGTGCCCGGGATCCGAACCGGCGAACCCTGGGCCACCGCAGCAGAGCGTGCGCACTTAACTGCTTGCACCATCAGGCTAGCCCCTGGTTTTCTCTTGTTTAGGTTATGAAATAAAGGCTTTCCAATACATTTAACTTAAAATTTTTGATTTTTTTTGTAGTCAACTATAGTTTAATCCATGAAAAATATAGATAGTCTTGCATAGATATAGTTAAGACTACCATATTTTTAAAATCATTTACACTGAAATAAATATCTTCAAAATGAAAATAAAATGCACTCTATACATTTCAGTTGGAAACTGAATATCCAAGTATGTATTGTGAATTAGAAAATACACTGCACATTATGAGGTTTATTGATGCACTCACATCATGGATACAGAATCACGGGTCTGTAGCAGGACCACACCATTTGCATGCACTCGATCCAGACTTCAGGTGGGATTGTGAGAAAGAACATGGCTGAAACGCGGGTAGTACCAGCATGATGCTGTCAACAAAATAATGTATCTGTTGAATAGTGAGTAATAATATATTTAGAAATCCTTCACTTTCCTGATAATGACTAAGGTTACTGTAACTGGACTTTTCATATATCATAAATTAATTATTAATAATTTAATTAATAATCAATAATTCATTATTGACTTTATCATAACCATGTTGAAGTAAGAAAACTGAGGTGTTAATATCAGTTTTGTTTTTCTTGTCAATTAAGTACTCAAAGTTGATTCTACAAATATAAAATTGTAGAATTTTTCAGATGGAGTTCAAAAGGACAGGTCTTTTGATCTTGAATCCTTATCCACCTTAATATGATTCATTTGTAGTGGCCTGCTGCATGTCATAATTGATGTAAGTGGAGAAATGTTACACTGCTTTTGAGATGCAATTGGAAACAATCACATTTTCCACAGACATTGTATACTATAGGTGTGACATTAAATTAAAATAGGCATATAATAATGATACACATCTTTTAGTGTAAATCTAAAAGTACAATCATTATATTTCAGTGAAAATGCATTGTCACTGAAGTTTATTGTGACACTTTTTTTTTTTTTTTTTTTTTTTTTGCTGAGGAAGATTCACCCTGAACTAACATCTGTGCCAGTCTTCCTCTATTTTGTAGTGGGTTGCCGCTACAGCATGGCAAGTGGTGTAGGTCCACGCCTGGGAACTGAACCTGGGCTGCTGAAGTGGAGTGTGCCAAAATTAACCACTAGGCCCCATGGCTGGCCCTTTTGACATCTTTTTAAAACATTGCTGTATCAATTGTTTTTTCTGTGAGGAAGATCAGCCCTGAGCTAACATCCATGCCAATCCTCCTCTTTTTGCTGAGGAAGACTGGCCCTGGGCTAACATCCGTGCCCATCCTCCTCCACTTTATATGGGACGCCGCCACAGCATGGCTTGACAAGCGGTGTGTCGGTGTGCACCCGAGATCCGAACCCGGGCCTCCAGCAGCGGAGCGCCCACACCCAACCGCTACACCACGGGGCCGGCCCCGCTTTATCAATTTTTAAAACAACTTATGGAAGTGTTCTTTTAAAATTCAGGGATTCTGAAACCACGTGAAAATAGGAAACTTAACAAATATTCAAGAAAAAGCCATCCGTGTTGACGTAGGCCGCAGAACTAAGTGCTTGAGTTTAAAGGTGGATGTTGATCTTCCATGTGGGTTTCACTGTAATAGTGGAAATAGCAGTTTTAAAAATTAACTAAATTATGTTAAAACTATAATTAGAAGTAAAATTAGAATATAGTGGTAACAAAAAGCATGGCCTTATTCTAGTGAGAATCAGGGAACAGAGCATTTGAACTGGGTGATGAAGGATGGTATTTTTACGGAAGAAATGTTATTGGGAGTCTAGGCTCAGAGAGATGGTGAATGAAGGCGATGAGGCATGAGGCACAGCAAGCACGATTGCCCACAAGTTCCTCTGGTCGGCTTGCAGCGTCTGACTGAGGTGTGATGTGATCTCACATACATTTTAAGAAAATCTTCCATGGGAAGCGGTGTAGAACGCCGTTGCAGTGCATAAGGCTTGAGCCAGTGTCGAGGTAGAAGGCTGCTGTAATCCTTTCAAGTTGATCCTGAGCTAGGGTGATGGCTGAAGTGTAAACTCTTGGTCAAGCACATTGGATTAACAAGACCTAGCAACTGTGGGGATTCGAGAGGGAGGAAGGGGTGAAGAGGATTGTGAATATTTTTCAGAAGGGTGCCAGAATTGATAGAGGAGGCGAGTTTCATTTTGGGTCTATTGATTTTGAGGTATCTTTGGGACATCCTGTTGGAAATTTAGATCATGAATTCAGGAACAAGTTTAGTGGTGGGGACCTGTGCCTAGAAGTGTCAGGAAGGGGGTTTTGAAATCGTACACTGTTTGGGCTTGTCCAGGGAGACGCTAGTCAGCAGTCCATAGATAGAGACCATTTAAGGGACAAGGAGTAATGACGGAGATTCAGAAGGAATCACAAGGACGTACCAGTAGCATACTGGAGTCTAGACACCAAGAAAAGTGAACGTTCGGTGGCATCTGGTTTCTTCACGTTCAAGACGTCTTTTTCTTTTGCGAGTGGCATTTTGTCACTATGCAGACATCCTGTTCATCATCAACTTGTCACCTAACAGGTTTAGCATCCATTGATTATCTTTGCCTGAATGAATTATTTCATTAGGAGCTGAAAATGGTGATTTTCCTAATTCTGTTAATTATTCTGCTTCCATTATTTGACATTCTTCTGAAAAGACAAGCTTCCTCTCATCAGCTGACACTGTTGGTTTCTCTGAAATACGGTTCCTACTGAAAAGGCAGGATAGATTTTTAATACTTTTGTTTAGTAATTCATTTTCAAAGTAAAGAGTTGGTGTAATAATTACTCCCAATGGTGGAAAATGAATAGAAAAGCCGGGTGCCCAGCCGGTGGTAGTAGCCCCAAGATCCGTGACATAAGAATTGTCTTTGTGTTTCTCCACACTTCCAATCCTTCTTTTCGTGGACATTTAAGGTTCTGTCGTTATTAAATTTATCTACCCCTTATGACTTATTTGAATTTCTGGTCAGTAAGTTTATGGACTGTCGTGGGAAACAGATAGTTTTGCTTTGTTCTAGAGTTATCACGCTCAAGTTTTTAGGAGGGCTCTTAGTGTTTTGAGACACAGTGGGCTTTAGTTTCTTCATTTGCTTCATTCTTTTCTGTAGACTTTGTCTGTGTCCTCTGCTTATGTTACCATTTCCATGTCTCTGTGAGGTGGTCGTGCCTAATCCCTGGGCGTGGGGCGTCCTCCCAGTCTTACCAGCATTTTCCTTGCACTGCGGTTCTGCTCCTTCGTAGCTTCCTTGAGCTGCAGGAACCAGAAATGTACAGAGTTTTGCTACTGAAAAGTATTTGCTGCAAATTTTTAATTCTACTATTGGGTTTTTAAAGTTTATTTTCTGTAGGTTAATTTTTTAAAAATTTTCTAAAGTTTCATGCTAAAGTTTATACTGGTAAAAAATATTTATAGATTAAAAAAATGTTCATATGTCACAATATTAGCATAGGTCCAAGACTATCAATTCATTTTATTTATTTATTTATTTTTTTGGTGAGGCAGACTAGCCCTGAGCTAACATCCGTTGCCAATCCTCCTTTTTTTGCTGAGGAAGATTGGCCTTGGGCTAACATCTGTGCCCATCTTCCTCTACTTTATATGTGGGACAGCTGCCACAGTATGGCTTGATAAGCAGTGTGTAGGTCCGAGCCCAGGATCCGAACCTATGAACCCCAGGCCACCAAAGCGGAGCACACCAACTTAACCACTATGCCACCGGGCTGGCCTTCAATTAATTTTTAAGTTTTATTCTCTGATGGAACTCACAGAAAAAGAGAAAACAATAGACCTAGTCTGTTGCTAAGGTCTAAACAATGCAAACCTATATACTTTTTTGTTTCTGTGTTTGTATTCACTACTCACATGGCTTAAGTAATGAAGGATAAGTATCAATCATATGTAAAATATTTATAGCCAGACTACTATTCACAGAATTATTAAGGAGAATATTTTGGTACTTCTCTTAAAATGGGGCACTGATATTAGTGGGTCCAAGTGAGGTTAACATTTTTAATTTGTTCTTGTAGGAGATACTTAGATTTTGTTATTTGTTATCCTAGCCTTCTCATTTCTTTTGAGAACACTGAAATTAAGTTGTACAGCCTAAAAGCCAAAGCAAGTTGTTATAAGTTATTATTTGAAAGAACTATCCATCAGCATTTGGTTGCTCTGGTACATATTAAATAGACATTTATCAGCTGACTACATGTTTGTGTGAAGACATCACTTGTCATAAGCACATTGGGGTGAGCAATTATATGTCTATTATGTACCATGTATTGGGGTGGCCTCATTTTTTTTACTTGCTATTTGAATTAATGCTAACAATTAGCCTGTGAAGTAGATCACAGTAGAGCCCAGAGAGTCTCAAGTCTCTTGCCCAAAGTCACAAAACTACAAGGATCTGAATAATGTGCAGATTCGTTAGTCTTCCTTGTTCTAAACGTTTTTGGTGAATAGTAGAAAATTGCTCACAATATTATAAGCTTGGAAAGAAAAAGAAAGGAGAACATGCCATAATTGAGAGACAGTAGAAGTCTTAAATAGACGCATTTTTCATTTTCTGGTGCATATACTTGGCCTGGGGAGATTGATTTGGGAGGGAGTACAGAGTATGTTGTTTCGTCTACTGTACGTGTACGCGTGTGGCTACTTTCGCCGCTGCAGTCATGAGACTCCCTTATCTTGGGGATATGACTACGTTTCTGAGGTCCAGTCTGGGTGGAATGTCCTCAATCAGCTATTTTGTATAGACTTGGAAAAAATATTTTAAATGTGTAGAATCATTTTTCTGCTACTTTTGAAAAACCAGGTGAATCATTAATTTGCAAGGTCTGGTTTTTTACAAGACAATTTTTTGTTTCTTTTTGAATAGAAAGATGAAAACTACAGAAGCCTCCCACGGGATACTAGTAACTGGTCTGAGCAATTTCAGAGAGACAGTGCGCGCTCGTCTCTGAGTGCCAGTCACCCAATGGTGGACAAATGGCTGGAGAAGCAAGAACAGGTAACAAACGCATCCTTCTGCACGCGTCACTGGATAGCGCCCTGGCCCAGGCCCCGAGAGATGCTTCCCTCCGTCACGTTGATGACGACACATACACTGTTCTCACAAACTTGGGTTAAGTACCAGGCTCTGTGTCGGAGTCTGTCTGACATCGATGTAGAGTAGTTCTGAGGCGGTCCCTGATCAAAGATTTCTCATAAGCAGTTAGGAATATTTTCTGTAGGTTCTGAAGCACCATGACCTTAGAGCTTGTTATGTTGCTGAGGCACAGATATTTGGCAGTGAATAATAAAAAGATATTTGGCAGTTTATGAGTAGACTTTCAGGAGCACCCATGGACTCTTCTTATTGATAGTAGTCAGTTAAAGGATCTGAAGAGGCAAATTAAAATATTCTGTTATACCTGACTTCACTTAATGAGAGAAATGTGTGCTATAGTGTTGTTTCAGAGTTTAGATGATTTTATCAGGTTGGGGAATTCTCCTTTCATAAATGTCAAGGACCTATTTTAGGTTTATGTTTTTAGAATTGCTTAGTTCACTCTGCAGGGTAGCCCACCTACAATTCATGAAATCAGAATTGTTTACCGCTCAATGTAAATAATGGCTTCCTGTCTTGGGAAGAAGGACTGTTTGCAAAGTTGTTACATCACTGTTAGAGAAGCCTTCCTTGCATATGAAGACTAAGAATGTATCTGGTAAGTTTGATGTATAAAAACCAAATGCTTCCAGGGCTTTTTTTTAAAAGTCTTCATTGTTTATTGTTAGTCACAAGAGTTTTCTTTGTAGTTTTAATAGTTTTTGATCTTAAAAACCCACTTATTTGGTTACTTCATCACTTAGTTATTTTCTTAAAGTCCACATGGATGGAAAACTAGGTGAGTACTCAGTGAGAGAATGTTTAGCTGTTCATCGGTTTCTAAGATTATTAATAATTCTCTTGCCTGGATACTGAAATAACTATTTTTCAATTTAGATTAATGATATCAGTGGAAAGAAATCCTAACTGTTTTACCTAATTCATCTGGGTCTATGTTTTATAGCATAAACCTCCTAAAATAATTTTGTGTATGTGGGGTATTCGAATATAAAACAGTAAAAAAGGACAGTTTGCCACTGACACCACTGATGATATGGCGCATGGACTGATTTTGATAATATAGTAAATATGAACATGCAAACGTGTGTTGGAAGTAATTTAAAATAATGAAAGAACCATGGTAGTTCTACTTAGGAGAAACACAATTTTCTCAAAATAATACAGATTTCCAACTAATTGATGTTATGATTTCATTATTACTTTGAAATAAATGCTTCTAAGATTTTGAGTTTAGCATGGGCCTGGGGTCAGACTGGCTGGTGACCAGCTATTTACCATATGTGACATTTGGGCGTGTTGCTAGATGTATCCAAACCTCAGTTTACTTGTTCATCAAATGGGGATAATCATAGAACCTGCCTCATCCAGTTGCTGTGTCAATGATGGAGTTCCTGTCGAGGGGTGAGAATCATGCCTGGTACCCAGAAAAACTCAATGTGTCTTAATATATTTGTTAGAAGACAATTGGGGCCGGCCCCGTGGCTTAGCGGTTAAGTGCTCATGCTCCGCTGCTGGTGGCCCGGGTTCGGATCCCAGGTGCGCACCAACACACTGCTTCTCCGGCCATACTGAGGCCGCTTCCCACATACAGCAACTAGAAGGATGTGCAGCTGTGACATACAACTATCCACTGGTGCTTTGGGGGGCAAATAAATAAATAAATAAAATCTTTAAAAAAAAAAAGGGTTTTTAAAAAAAAAAAAGAAGAAAATTGGCTGCTAATAACAGAAAATCTAGATTGCGTAGTAAGGAAATATTCCTTATTCATTTAACAAGAAGTCTGGGAGAAAGGAAGGTCGGGGTTCAGTTTGCAAGCTCAGTGACCTCATTGAGGATCTGGATCTCCCTCTTTTCCGGGAACGCTCTACAGAGGCTCCTTGGCTCGGTGTTCAAGCTTGTCCTTTCCTGCCAGGGCCGCAACCATCACATTCTTGCACAGAAGAAGAGGAAGAGTGCCTTTTTCTTCTTGGTGGCTCTTTTGGAAAGCAAATAAACTTTCCCCACAAGCTCATCCCACCTCTCTCCAAGAGATGCACCTTGGTGTTTTGTTGTCCAGAATTGCATGACTTGCCATTTCTAAGTCGAAGGGAGTAAAGTGCCAGCTCTGGTTTAGACTGATGGAGCTTGACCTGCTGGAGCTGGGGTTGGGGGCGTGGCAGCTTACCTTCCCAGAAACACAATTGCTTGTCACTGAACACAGTCAGGGTTCAGTTAAAGCAAGAAGGAGATACAGTTAGCTAAATATGCTAAAGATGACAATTTTTATTGTAAGATTAGGAGGAAAAAACTGGCAGCCCAGAGTTTCTAAAATGAGATACATTTAGTTCTATTCTAAAAATAAAACTTTTACTATTGCAGTTGTAGATCTGTTTTTAAGGAAGTAGTGTAGTTTTTCTTTGCAATTTTGGCATACAATAGTTTCTTTTTAAGTAAAAGGGATTGCGCTGAGAAGCCACACACTTTTTTCCCCCAAAGACTGAGCCTTGATTTGTTTCTGTGGAAGTTATTGGAAGTATTTGTTCCATGATAAGTAGGTTTTTAAAAAATAAATACTTAGTCTGTGTAGTCTAGTGTAGATAACATTAGCTAATTGATTCCTGAGCCTAAAAACATCTTCTTCCGTGGTTTAAGTTTAAAAAATGATGATCTGTTCACTAAATTTGATGATTTCACATCAGCAGGATAATTAGATAGAATGAAATCTAATTAAGAGAACAAGAACAGCAAAACAAAACCCATATTAAAACTTTGGCTAAAAGTAAGCACAATTGTTTGGACAGAAGAGGACTAATGGATTGTGCTGGATACACTGGAAATCTAGTCCGGCTATTCTCATTAAATTCTGTATTTATTCTTTTAACTATTCCCCGTGAGTCATCCGACTTTTGTGGCCTGATATCTCGTCAGTGGCTTTTTTTGTCCTTAGTTTTTTGCCATTAAAAATTTAATAAAGAGAATAGCATCACCTAGATAAAAGAATGTTTTATATGATTAAAAAAAATCACCCCTGTGCCTTTATGATTTGGGATCATTGGGGTAGAACCGATGGCTGTCTTCCTTTAGTTCTGCTGTCTGGACTGAGGAGGTCAAGAGAGTTCTAGATGTTATATGCCTCCAGTGCTTTTGTTTTTCCTCTATTTCCTACTAGAGTGCTTGTCTCTCGTTACCTCTGTGTTTTGAAGGCAATTAGGACCACATCAGCTTTGCCAGTGGGAATAAACAGCGGGGATGAAAAGGACAGAAGAGGGTGTGCATGTGCCGAGCTAGCAGGCACGCTGGGAGCTGAAGGTGGCTTTCTCTTTCTGTGGGATGGACCCTACCTACGGGGATATCGAATCTTCTTTCCCTCTGTTAGAGTATTGGTAAGTTACACTTCCATAACCCAGGGTAGGTGATGTATCCTGGTGGAACTCTGTACCAGGGTGCACTTGCAGTCAAGCTCAGCGTGATTTCCAGAAAGAGTAGTCTTGCTTTTCAGTGACTAGGTCACCTTGCTCAGCCTAGCTTGTAGCTGAATCCTACGTCACGTTCATCTCAGAAGGAAGAGGACTGTGCATCTTTCAAAGAGCATCCTCTTCTTGTGTCAGTCTTGTGACTTCCTTCTTCTGAGAGATCTCAGAGGAAGCACAAAGGATTTGAAAACTAAATGGGTTGTGGTTGTGTTGCCTAAAAAGTTTTCATGCTTCTGAAATTTTGACTCTGAGACCCAAGAAACAGGAAAAGCAACAAAACCCTTAGTTTCAATATTTGGCAATGTTTTAAGAAATCTGAATTCTTTTAACCATTACCATTTCTCTGGCTCTGCATAGACTGTATTTAATATTGGCAGATAATAGATCATAAGCTGACTTTATTCTTCTATCCCCGCAGTTTATTGCAACTAATAAAGTCCACAAAAGAGGAGGCAGGAACTTTATAACATGTGATTGGAAGAATTTAGGACCAGAAAGTAGAGAGACCTTAAGGGAAATTTAAGCTAATTAGGAGCCTGCCATTTTCACCACCGTGTCTTGGTGAACAGACCTGAGGCCAGTTAACTGAGAGAGCAAGGTGGTGCAAGGCACATTCCAGCCGCCACTTCAGCTCTGTTCTAGGGGAATGACTGCCCTGACCTTTGGAGAAAAAGCCATGTTTTAGAGTTCTTTCCATCAAGCAAAAACTTCATTTAATTGGCAGATTATACTGAAGGAGGCAAAATGTGAGGAAAACTACCTTAAGTGTTTGGTGATGGAACAACTCAAGTGTGACATTGAATGTGCTCTCCCCTCACCTTTGTACCCTTGCTTGCAAGTCTCACCATCCAGTGTCAAGTCTCACAGTCCCCAAACCAGGAGTTTTAGGAGCATGACAGTGCCTTTTTTTCTTATTTTATAAACTTTTGTCACTGTCTCCGGCCAGGATACTTTTTCTTCATACTTTTTCATGCAGAACAGAACATTCTTGACCTCTGATCATTTACTTCTCTTGAGATGAAGATGGCTAATACGAGGATAGTGCGTCTTTTTACATTAGCATGTATTTACTGAGTTCTAGATGTTAGAATTAGAAAATAGTTGAATGTTAATTAGAAAACATATTTAAATAAAATAATGCTAGAGAATAAATGCTTATCATTTGTCTTATTCTCAAAAAAGCATAGTGCAACATTGTTTGCTTATTCTTTTTTTTTTTTTTTTTTGTGAGGAAGATCAGCCCTGAGCTAACATCTGTCAATCCTCCTCTTTTTGCTGAGGAAGACTGGCCCTGGGCTAACATCCGTGCCCATCTTCCTCCACCTTATATGGGATGTCGCCCAAGAGGTGCGTCGGTGCACGCCCGGGATCCAAACTTGCGAACCCTGGGCCGCCGCAGCGAAGCGTGCGCACTTAACCTCTTGTGCCACCGGCCCAGCCCCCCTGTTT